GGAAATGTGTTTTAGTAAAATCTAATTTGAAAAATATATTTTCCAAACTTGTAAATATATTTTCAAACAGCAGTTTTTAAAAAAATATATTTCCCCTCATTTTTTAGAGTGTGACAGAGAGCAGTCACTGATTGAAGTGTCAGACACCTCAGAAGCCCACTTTCTGCCAGCTAACATTCAACAACAACAACAACAACAACAACAGCAATGACATTAGCAAAGAAAAAAATATCATTTTTAGAAAAAATTGTAAACGCAAAGTAGAATTTCGGTTCAAATTGGGAGAAAAACAGTAATAAATGTATGGTGTTCAGAAGTCAAGTGTAAGCGTGTGCAAGTTAAACAATGAAGTAGAAGAAAGTGGTGTAATTAAAAAAGGTAGCTTAAGAATTTAACTCACCGGCAACTGTGGTTTGTACTGCAGGGTATAAGGTAAGGGCAGGGGATGACTGGTCGTGAGCAAAGTGGGTGAAAACTAGCTGACAGTTGTGTGTATGTGTGTAAGTGATAATAAATACTAAAAGGCAAAGTGATGAGCGATAATGGGCGGTAATGAGGGGCAATGAATGAGTGTGTGTGTGTGTGTGTGTGTGAGTCAGTGTAAAGAAGCAGTTTGTGTGGGTGGCAAACGATAGTGAGCCGCCGTCTCTGCGCCGACAGTCTCGCTTCAGCCACTGCTCGACGACTGCAGCGACTGCATAAAGTTGTTCAGATCGTACTCATTCTCGTACTGCTGAATGTCCCACAACTCGGGAAGATTGTCCAGCATCATCTTCATGGAGACGGGCGCCTTTCCGCCGGCACTGGACGAGGAGTGACCGCCGCCGCCGCCGCTGCCAAATGAAAGCGACGACGACTTGCCGGTGCCGGCCTTCTCCGAGGAGGACAGCTCAAACAAGTCCAGCAGCTGGTCGGTGGCCATTGAGTCGAGACTTGAGTTCTCACTGGATATCACCGTGTTGGCGATCGTTAACTTGAACTTCTGCAGACCCATAATCTTCTCCTCCAACGTGCCGGTAGTGATTAGTCTGTTGAAAAGCGAAAAAACGTAGTGAGCAAAATCCACTACTCAAAATCAGCAAAACACGTACCGATAAACATTGACCACCTTCTTCTGGCCAATTCGATGGGCTCGATCCATGGCCTGCAAGTCCTTCATCGGATTCCAGTCGTGCTCCACAAATATCACAGTGTCCGCACCGGTTAAGTTGAGGCCCAGGCCGCCCACCTACACACAAGAGGAAATTTGTGAATAAGCCACCAAACAAACAAGCCAACCGATGCAGCGTACCTGAGTGGTGAGCAGAAGAATGTCAATGGAGGGGTCATTGTTGAAGCGATGAATGACCGAGTAGCGCGAGTTGGCGGGCACATCCCCATCCAGACGCAGGTAGCTGACTGAGCGCATGTGCACCTTCAGCAGGTCATTCTCCACAATGTCCAGCATGCCCTTCAGCTGGCAGAAGACCAGCGCCCGGTGCTGGTTGACGACGGGCACCACCGCCTGCGCGCCGCCGGTGCCCGTCGAGTCGGCGGCGGCGCCGATGCCGCAGTCGAGCAGCAGCTGCTTCAGCGCCACCAGCTTGGCGGCGTTGTTGATGTCCGCCAGCGGGTTGTTCTCCGCCTTCAGCTTGGCCATGATCGTCTCGTAGTGCGGATGCGACGGCGAGAGCACCAGCTTCGGGTGGTTGCACACCTTGCGCAGGTACTGCAGCGACTGAAAGATGTGCGACTTGTTGGCAGAGCCGGCCGCGCCCTTCTTCTCCGCCCCCTTCTTCTCAGTCTCGCCCGCAGTCTGCCCTCCAGCAATCTCCTCCACCTCCGTGTCGATGGCCTGCTTGAGCGACTGCCGGGCGCGACTCTTGTAGAAGTCCTCGTACAGCTGACCCTGCAGCGGACTGAGCTCGCAGTAGTAGTCCTGGATGATCTTCGGCGGCAGGTCCTTCAGCACGTCCTCCTTCATTCGGCGGAGAATAAAGGGCAGCACCTGTCGGTGGAGGCCTTCCATGGCGAGAATGCCGGCTTCCTGCTCCTTGGAGGAGCTCTTTGCGTCGCGAGACGCTAGAATGGGCTTCGAGTAGCGCGCCATAAACTGCCGCTCAGTGCCGAGAAAGCCGGGCATGAGAAAGTCAAAGAGCGACCACAGCTCGAGGACGTTATTCTGAATGGGCGTCCCCGTCAGTATTAGGCGGTGATTGGCGGTCAGCGACTTGATGGCCTTTGCCAGTTTGGTCTTTCCGTTCTTGATGACGTGTCCCTCGTCGAGGATGCAGTAGTTCCACCTGATGGCGGAGAAGAAGTCAATGTCATTGCGCACCAGATCGTAGGAGGCAATGATGAGGTTGTAGTGGTGCTTCACCTTGTCGCCCTGCCTGCTCCCCTGAGAGCTCGTCTGCAGCGCCTTCTTGATCTTGTGCTTCAGTTTGGCCCGCTCAAAGGGCGGTCCGGTGTAGTGGATGGGGTTGAGGTGCTGGGCGCTGACAAACTTGCCCACCTCGTACAGCCAGTGCCCGGTGAGGGTGGGCGGACAGATGACGATGGAGGGCAGGGGCCGGTTCTTCGACTCGCCGCTCTGGTAGCGAGCCATAATGTAGTGGTGGTCAGAGGCGAGTATGCAGATCGCCTGGAGGGTCTTCCCCAGGCCCATCTCGTCGGCGACGATGCCGTGCAGTTTGTACTTGTTGAGAAAGGCCAGCCAGTTGAGGCCGTCCTGTTGGTAGGTGCGCAGCTCCGCCTCCACCGGAACGGGCAGTCGATAATCGTCGATCTTTTTCACGTTCATCAGTTGCTCCAAAAAATGGCGCTCACTTTCCTTCCGCTTGAGCAGCTCTTCAGAGAACTCAGGCATCTTTGGCTGCTTCGTCAAGTGATGATGACTGCTGCTGCTGCTGCTGCTGTTGTCGGCCTTGTTTTTGTCCTCTTCAACACTGCTGCAGTTGCCGTTCTCCTCGTTCTCCTTTTTCACCCCCAAATTGCCGCCATTGACCACCTCGTGATTATTACCACTGCTGGTCTGCACTTTGTTTTGATTGTCATTATCAAGTGGCATCAACTGCACTAGCTGGGCAAAGCAGTGCGTCGCCAGCAGACGGACGCTTTCATTTTGGTCAGACATTCGTCCCAACATGGGCACAATGAGGAAGACAATGTAGGGCACAATCTTCAGTGACAGCTTCTCAATTACACAGCAGATCGCCTCGACGGCGCCCTGGCGCTTCAGCTCGCACTCCGTCGAGTCGAGCAGATCAAGCGTCTTCGTGAGGATGACATTCATCGTCTGACTCTGCAGAATGGTGGAGAGCATGCCGAAGCACCGGGCGGCCATGTGGCGAATGGTGATGAAGGACGACTCCAGACAGGTGCTGAGAAAGTCCACCGCGGTGAGCAGCTCCAGCTGCATCGACTGCTCCAGATTCGGGCCCACCACCTCGAAGACCTGCAGGCACTGAATTAAGTATTTGGCATCGGCCAGCGACGGCTCACTGAACGGCGGGGACGCCTTGGAGCTGATCAGGTGAAGAATGTGCTCCCACAGGGTGGGCAGGCGGTCCGGCAGGAAGGTGCCAAAGTAGCGACAGGACTCGGAGAGGGCGATCGTGGCACCTCGACGCAGAATTTCATTCCTCTTGTCGTCAAGCTCGGAGGGAACTGCCGGCGTGGCAGTGGGAGTGCTGCCTGCTGCTGATGTTGAGGCACTGTTACCGCCATTAGCCGTCGCTTGGCCGCCACTGCTGCCGGCAGCAGCAGCACTGTTGCTTTCATCGACGGACTTTTGACTTTTGACGCTCACTGAATTGGACCGCCTGAAGGTGGTCGACTTCTCCGCGTTCCTCTGCATATTGTCCAGCGTTAGAATGCCCAGCTGAACCTTTTTCATGACTCGGCTTTCCGTCTTTTTCTTCTTTTTGTTACTGCTGTCCTCCGTTGCTCCAACCACCTCAACCTCGGTCGCACCGAGCAGCGATATCTCCGGCGTAAAGTTTCTATCCGAGCACATGAATCCAATGAGATTCTTGATAATCTTAGGCAGTGGCGTGGGCAGGCTGGGGTTGAGGTAAAACCGTTCACAGCACAGTCTAAGTAGTTGCACCAAACTAGAGGCCGAGCCTCGCTGCAGCTGCTCATTCTCCTCGGCCTTTATCGAGTCCATCACCGGTCGGACAATGGGATTGAGCTTCTCCGGCAGGTAGTGCCAGGAGATGAGGGCACTGGCCAGCGCAGAGTTTACGGCAATGGTCAGCGAGCTTGAGTAGGTCTGCATTTCGCCGCATTGCCGCCGCAGAAAGGTGATTCGCTCCTCGACGGTGTCAATGCTCGCCTTCAGCTTCTTCGTCGGCTTCTTGCTGCTGTTGTACTGGCGCTTCAGCTCGGCGAGGCTGTTACTCGACACATCGTTCACCAGGTCGTTGATTTTCGGACAGGTGTACACGTTGCTGGCGCCAAACTCCGTTTCATTGAATGGAATCTTATTCAGACGCAGGTAGCTGATAAAGTCACGAGTGTGAATCTGCAGACGGGTGAACTGATTCTGAAGCTCATCGTAGAAGAGGGACTCCTGCAGCAGCTCAAAGCACCGGTCACTGAGTGGCTTGTACAGCTTCGACACCAGCGGCTCTCTCGCATCGTCCTCGCTCTTGGCCAGCCACAGGGGCGGGCGTTCCCCCCGACGAGAGACCATCACCACCGCCCACTCTTTGATGATCCACGAGGTGCACATCCGCTGAATGGCCGACTTGCTGTTCAGGTGAAACAGCAGAATGCCGGCAAAGCTTTCCAGTGCATTGGGAGCTGCTGCTGGCTGGACCGCAGAAGCTGGTTCCTGCTCTGCAGAAGTAGTGCTGCCATTGCCATTCGGAACTGCTGCTGCTGCTGCTGTGGTAGTGGCTGGGCCAGGTGGCGGCAGCTGATCGAGGTAGGGCTCGGTGAGAAAGTACGCCAGTGTGCCAATCAGTCTGGCGCACTGATACCGCGCCCGAATGACGCACTTTTCGCGCTCCTCACTGGTGTCGCAGAGTGACTCGGCACCGCCAATGTAATACTGTTCAGTTAGGGCCTCCATGGTCGAGTCGTCTCGGTTTCCGTTTCGAGCCCTGCCACCACTCTCCTGAAACAAGAAAAAGATTAAAAAGTGACTCATTTGAAAAAAAGCCTTTACTTACATGTTGACTGGCAATGATATGCTTCAGCTCGAGCCAGACGGGCGAGGTCTGCGGGTCAATGGCGACCTTCTGCGGGTGCATCATCAGGCAGATCCACCCGGTGACGTAGTTGCAGGTGGCCTCAATCATCTGCGAGTACTTGGCCTTCGAGACGAGACTGTGCCAGACCTTGTGGAGCATCTCCAGGACAGAGTTGAGATTCTCGACGAGTGACCGCTGGTAGAGCAATCGCAGCGCCTCGGACAGCAGCGACGGCGTCAGCCAGTCATCGGAGCTCTTATCACAAAGAATCAGCAGCGAGTCGAGCACTGACTTGCGCACTGAAGAGAGCGAGTGCGAGAGAAAGGGCCACAGACGGGGAATCAGTCTGACCAGCTCCTTGTCGTCGTAGAGGTTGTGCTGCATCTCCTGGCCTTTGAAGGTGAGTAGAGAGGAGAGCAGCATCAGCAGATCACCCGTGGAGGAGCTCAGATCGTCCAGATCGAGAAGGGCCTCCCAGAGGAAGGCAATCACCAGAGGCACCTTCTCGGGAATTAAGCTCATCAGTTCGTTCTTCACCGGGACGAGGGCGGCGGCGGCCACTGCCGACACGTCGTCCACCGAGTCCTTGAGGCCGCTGAAGACCGGCTCAAAGACCGTCGGCAGGAGTGTGCTGATCATGTCCTGGCGAACGGCGAGCAGGTACTTCAGGCCGAGCATTCCGCCGTGACGTGCCTCCCACTCTGAGCAGCGAAGCAGCTGAAGTAGAATCTGCAGGACATTGCCGACGCCCTCCACCGTCAGCAGGTTGATCACCAGACCGAGCACCTGAGCGCAGGTCTCGCGCACCGGGGCCACCACCTGGTCGGAGAGAAAGTCACCGAAGCGGTCGAGGGCGAGAACGGAGAGAAGGCGCAGTGAGAGGTCCTCCAGCCACTGTTGGTTGTGCTGGTCCATTTCGCTGGCCAGCGCTGACCGGTGTCGACCGCCGCATCTTCCCTGCAGCTTCACAATTTCGCGCAGTCCAGTGGCGGCGCCGTGGCGAATTTCCCAGAGTGGGTTGAAGAGGTCGCCCATCAGCTCGTCGCTGAACCACTCCAGCGGCCACTCGTTGACCTCTGCTTCAGCTGTGGAGACTGGCTCAGCGGACGATGTCTCTCCGCCAGCGCTCTCATCCATGGGCTCAGCTTTCACCTTCTTGCTTACTTCATCCACCAAGGACTCGGTGGACTTTAACCTCTTCAGCGTCTGCTTCGCACCACTGGTGGACAGTGACTTTTGCCTCTTCACCATCTGCCGCCCACCGGTAGCCTTTGTGAGGACTTCGTTCAACTTCTCTTCATTCATTGGCGTTGAGTTGGATGCGCCTTCAGTCTGAGCGGTGACTCCATTGGTGCTCTCCAAGTCACAGCTGGAGATGAGGTCCAGTTGGAAGCCCAGCTTCTCCGCCATATCCAGTCCTAGTCTTTCATTGAGCAGTTTTCGCTGTCGGGCAATTTTCTCCTTTGCATCGAGAGCACTCAACGTGACCGCCTCCTCGGGATTGTCAAACTCTTTGCCTTCCGAAGCGAGCAAATTGTGACCACACTTGATGACGGTGTGCACGTCATATCGGTCAAACATCATCTGCCCGGCGATCAAGTTTGCCCGACTCCGTCCACTAATGCCCGCTGATGGAGCGCCGTCATCATCACCCTCTTTTATCTTCACATCTGGAAGGCCGCTGGGAAACCACAGTGGGACATTGCCGACGATCGCCTCCACTGCTTGACTAGCCGCAATTCGCGTGTCCCATGACGAACTGTGGAGGTATTGTCGAACTTTGAGCAGCAAGTTCTTCAGCTCATGTGGATGAAGCTTCTGGACCTCACCTAGCTGAAGTGCAGCAGCCTTTCGCGTCAACGGCGACGACCCGGTCTCGAGGAGAAGAAACAGGCGGTCCAGACGTGTAGTCATCTTTGCCTGTGTGTTGTTGTTGTTGTCCGTCGTTGGCCGATCACGGAACACTGTTGTTGATTAATGCTGCTGGTGGTGGTGATGGCTGTGCCGCCGACATCGAGGCTGTTGAGAGCTGTGCAGCACCAGGGACCGCCCTTGTGATGGGCGTGAGCAGTGGCTGAGCGAGTGGATGACTGGTGGTGACGAGGTAGTGGTGATTGAAGCCGGTGGAGTTGGAGTGAATACTCTCTCGGCGGAGAAGTTCACAAGTCTCCCTTCTCTGTGTTTGTGTTTTTGTCTTCGTGTGTGTCTTACGGCAAAATCGGGGCGACTTGGATGACATCTACCTGTGAAAAGGGCGACTAGTCAGTTTGGTGGGCACTTCAATCGAGACTGAAGTGCTGCACTGCCCATGTTTAGTCAATTTTATTGGCTCTTATTTGGTTGCCTTGGAACTCGAGTTTTATGGTTTTTCATCAAATTAATAAAGTGGATACACTGAATGATTTGAATCATTTCAGTGGCAGTCATGGTGAAAAGGGGTGGGCACTATCAGTGAGGCATGGTGCTATCTCGGGGGCGCCAGGGTAGCTGCTGATGCTGCCGCTGCACTGCCACTGCTGCTGAGTGCCTCTTTGTTGTGCCCACCAAATGAGGCAGTCAGTCAGTAACACGTCAGTCGTTTTGTTGAAAGTGAACCTGCTCTCACTTTCTCCCTCGGACCAATTTTACACTTTTCTCACTTTTCATTTTTCTATTGCCAATCCATTCCGCAACTTCTACATTCATCACTATGAAGCGCTTCGCTCGTGTCGCCATTCTTCTGGTGTCGGTGCTTGCACTGATCACCGTCGCCTTCGTCACCGCTAGTGGAGGCGGTGGCGGCTCCAACGCAAAGGGACCCAAAGCTACCGATGTGGTAAGTGTGCTTTGATTGCGCATCAGTTCTAGTTTACCTTATCGGCTTTGTTTGCCAGGTCACCTTCTCCATCACCATTGGAGATGAGCCAGCGGGTGACATTGAAATTGGCCTATTTGGAAAGACGGTTCCAAAAACGGTAGAAAATTTTAAGCAGCTTTGTGTGCGTCACTTGACCGAGGTAAGAGAAAAACTGGATCACAATATGGTCATTGCTGAAAATAACTGATTTCATAATTGTTTGTTCAGAAATCAGAAGATGGCAAGCTGGTCGGCTACAAGGGCTCCGTCTTTCATCGCGTCATTCCCGACTTTATGCTCCAGGTGAGTTGACAAGTTTGTCTGTAGTGATTTGTTGGTAACCTTGTAATATTGAATGTAGGGAGGTGATTTCACTCGCGGCGATGGCACCGGCGGTCGCAGCATCTACGGTGAGAAGTTTGCCGATGAGAACTTCAAGCTGAGCCACTACGGCGCTGGATGGCTGTCGATGGCCAACGCTGGCAAGGACACCAATGGAAGCCAGTTCTTCATTACCGTCAAGAAGACCAGTTGGCTCGATGGTCGCCATGTTGTTTTCGGCAAGGTCATGAAGGGCATGTCCGTCGTGCGGGCCATTGAGCACAACAAAACGGGCCCCCAGGACCGTCCGATCAAGGAGGTGAAGATTGTCGATTGCTCAGTGCGCACCCTGGAAGAGCCCATCGCTCTGGAGCGTGCCGATGCCACCGAATAGATGCCTAGAGAGAACTGCTTCAACTAGGTTTCCTGCTGCTCAGAAGACAATTGAAAACCCGTTGTCACTAAAAAAGTACCACTGAAAGCACTGTATAAATTTATAAAAAGCATCCTCAATCAATACAAATGGCACTTGGTAGCAGTGGTGAGAATACACAAAGAAGCCTGGCTGAAGCTCAGACGTCAGCACGTCCCTGCTTCAGCCACGGATGCTCCATCAGCATCTCCATGCTGGGGCGACCGGCGTAGTTTGGCTCCAGGTGGTCGCTGATGAACTGCTTGGCCTGCGCCGACAGACCACGATCCAGGGTGAACTGCTTCTGCAGCTGACTGTCGAGGAAGGCGCGCAGGTTCCAGGCGGTGAATGGCAGGCGGCGGTGGAGGAGGGCGTAGAGGACCACACCGACGCTCCACACGTCACTGTCCAGCTGGTCCACGGCGGGCATCTCCGGGCGTTGAAGGCGGCGGCTTCTCACCGGGCAGCGCAGCACCTCCGGCGCCAGGTAGGCCGCAGAAGGGCAGAAGGTGTTCTTGATGAGGGAGCTGGTGGCGGTGGCGATGGTGGTGGTGTTGGGCAGTGGGAAGCACTGACGCTGAAAGACAAAGTCGGTCAACTTGCAGACACGGCGCTCCTCATCGACGAGGAGAATCTTTTCGCACTTGATGTTGCCGTGTTCAAATTCAAGTGAGTGCATGTAGTGGACGGCGGCGCCAAACTGGAGGTAGTAGAAACGAGCTTCCACCTCACTCAGTGGACTGTCTCGCTCGGCCAGCAGGTCCTCCAGACTGCCGCCAGTGGCTAGCTCAAGAAAAATGAAGAGTGACTTTGAAAGAGGGCTGGTGCTGGTGCGCTGTTGGCCTGCATGTTCGCCTCCCTCCTGAGGAGGGTGAAGACCACCCGCTTCCCCACTAGAGCTGTGCTGGCAGATGAAGAGATCGTAGATCTTCAGCAGGTGGTCGTGCTTCAGGTTCCTGCTGACGTAGCGATCGTAGTTGTAGAACTCGGCGTACTCGCCCTGGAAGGGGACACGAGGCCCAGTGGACAGTGGAATCACCTTCACGGCGATGGGCTGGCTTTCATGTCCGAACTTGCCACTGACAAGGCGGCTGATGCTACCTCTCTTTAGCGTTTTTTTGCCCAGGGTGAAGCCAGCAATAGTCAGCATGTCCTTGTCACGCTGAGACAGTACCGGTAGCGGCGGCTGATGCTGGTCCATTGTGATAGCAAACTTTATGCTATGGTACAAAAAAGGTCAACTTTTGGAGCGCAAAGTGACAAATGAAGTCCGAAAGTTAGGAGACGCGCCTTTAGTGCTGCACTTTGTTGTTCGAAATTTAATCAGGACGCATCATCTAGCATCTACTCAAAGTTTTATGCTGATGGTGCTTTTCAATAAAATTTTGCCATTTTACTCTGAGCAGTCAAATTGCATATTACAAAAGTTTACTGATTTGTTTCTTGTTTGCATTGTTTAACGACCACTTGGCCGAGAATCCTTTGCTTTTGAGCTTTTTTCTTTTACCGGCAAAACGCGCCATGAAAAAGAAGACGTCCTCTGCGAACTCCCCTTATGCTTTTGCTTCTCGCCTGTTCGAACTGTAAACAAGCTCACTGTCACTCGCTGGCTGTACAGTGTACACCGCCGAAGCTGCCGTCTTTTTACCATTTACTGATACGTTCCCAGAGTGTTTTCCAAGTCCTTAGACTCCACCTAAAGTTGGCAACATTCTTTTCAGTGAGTAGCAGTTGATTGAACGTCCATTTTCTAGTCGCTTGTGTTTGCAGATTTTTTTACTTCGATCGTAAGAATAGAAATTCTGATTTTTATTTTTTCATTTTAGGTTCACTGCTTGCAAGGCGAGGTGCCATCATTATAAACAGCAAAGATGGTAGCCAAACACATTAACGATTTCCCCGATGAGTTGTTGAGGACGATTCTGCGACTGTCACTGTCGCCTAACGCTTCACTGATTGAGCTCGTCCAAAGAGGCTTCGTCTGTAACCGTTGGCTGACCGTCGTCGCGGAGCTGATCGACACCCATTGGCTGGGCACCGGGGTAATCGTTGACACCCCTGCTGGCAATGTTCGGCTGATGAAACAACAACTTCCCAGAGGGAGAATGCTGAAGCTTTTTGAAAGCGAGTTCCAGCTCGAAGTTTACGATGATCTGGTAATTAGAGACGCTCAACTGCACCTTCATGACCTGCAGATGCGTCTGAACCGCAACCTTGATTGGCGTCACCAGGACCACCTTTGTCTGTCTGCTATTCCCAACACTGCCATCGACGTGCTGGTTCGGGGGCTGGACGCCATCTTTGATAAAGACGACCACTCGATCACCTCACTAGTAGTCGGCACCGCTCAACTGGACCTCGTTGAGCTGCTAAAAGCCTTTCCACAGGTGGACTCACTGACGCTAATAGAGCTCCCTGACTCCCGAAAAACTCAGGCGGAACTGTGGACCTACCTTGCCACCCGTGATAAGATACCTTTACGACAGCTGCACATCTTCCACCGAAACGGCTTTTTCCCGGTGGCCACCGAACAGGTGGCCCCTATCTTTGCCCGCCTCCAGGCGCTTACCATGCACCAGTACACTCACTCAAATCGAGCAGCTTTGCTGAACGTGCTTAGCGGAACAAACTGTCGGAAGGTCTTGCTCAGGAGCCGAATGAACGTGCCGGAAGATCAAAGCTATTTTAACCCTTGGTGGGGAAGGAATAATGTCCCACTATCTGCTCCAAGCAATCTTGAAATCTGCCATCGGTCAAAGTTGAATTGGAGAAGTAAGGAGACGGACTTCATAATTGAAGAGGTCGCCTTTAAACGGCACTGGGTGAGAAGGAGGTACTTACGCCAAGCCAGAGAGCGGCAGGAGCAACAACGAGAATTAGAAGCACAAGTGGCAGCAAGAATGGCGGCTTTGCCAGGGGGACGTGCCGTAGTCCAAATTATAGAGCAAGTTATCGGGGAAGATCTTTTTGAGATGAATAAACCTCCCGAACCGCCTTTTGCACTGGTGCCCGCAGAGTTCCACAATGCAGACGAGTTTCCGGTGGCAAATGTGTTTGTTGAGGACAGATGGTTTGTTGAGGACCGATGGCTTGCAGAGAACAGAGGGCCAGAAGATGTTCAACAAATGGATCCACGGAATCAATTGAACGATGAAAATCGTAAAAATGCACTTTGTTTGAAATCTAAAAGTTTTGAGCAATTTGTTATTTCTCTTGATATTGCTCCCTCTCAGCCTGACCTCGAGGATCCTCACCTTCCCTTTACACTGTCCTACGTTCAGGTGCTCCACGTGACGGCTTGGCTGAAGACGGTGGCTTTCTATGTAGGATTCGGCGCCGCTGCTGCCACATCATTCAGTCCTGAGGTTGACTTTCTGAACCTTTTCCTTCCTCGATTTCTACTTACTCATGCTGAACCAGCAGCAACAGCAGCAGCAAATCCTCATCGACAGCTTCAGAAGCTGGTCCACCTGTGGCGAGCCATTATTCGTCAGCTCGATCAGACGGTGGCGTTGTGGCAAGATGAGATGACACGGAAGCGGAAAGAAAAAAGTGGATCTATTAAGGAGGAAGTTTTAATTACGAAGAAGCAACTGTTCAGATTGTTTATTGACCTGTACCACCAGTTCTTCACTGGAAATTGGCAGCCGCCTCTGCCATTCTACTACCACTCACCAGCTATGGACAATGGTGTCGATCCACTGAAACCCTGGATTGTGATCTGGATGCTGATGCATGACTCCTTTCAGTTGGGAAGTGCAGCTGAAGGCGGCAATGAAAACGACGAAGCCAGTAGTCATACTACCTATCAGACATCCATAAACGGTAAAGCTTTTTTGTAAAAACTAAAAGTGGTCATTTCTTCTAAACTTTTATCCGTTTACTCTTTGTTCTTTCAGAAATCAACAACTTTGAAAAGCGGCTTAGCCTTGGTTTTCCTCGCAAAGACGACAGTGGAGAAGTCAGATGCTTCCAGAAATACCATCACAGCTTCATTTTACCAAAACAATTTTTTCATTAGTTTAAACATTGAAAATAACATTAGCGTTGAATGTTGAAGCTCCAGTTGTCAGTTGACGGAGATTACCCAAATTTATAACCATGTTAATACCTCACATACTTGTATTAAAATAAATTTTTGAATTAGCATTTTTAAATGTCATTTTGTTAGCTTTCTTGGATGAAGGTTGCATTTGGATATTTCTAACAAATTTGTAGAGACTAAAATGTGGACGTTCAGAAAGAAACATTTTTAGTGAAAATGCGACTATTTTTATACTAGAACTAGGAAATAATGTACAGACAGACTGGGTGAATACTACTCAATTAGCCGCCACCTTTGCAGACTGCTTGGTGCGCTGGATCGGTTGAATCTGCTTCTGCTGCTGCTGAGACTGTTTCCGCTGACCGCTCTTCGGTGACACTACTTCAATTGGCAGCAGTATGGCCTGCTCCAGTGTCTTCTCCGTCTCCACGAGATTGCTTTCGCTCAGGTTCTTCACCAAAAGCTGAAACTCTGGAAGAAGGTCCTTTTTGCTGCTTTCACTTATAAGTTTTTCGATTTTGTTCAGCTGCGAGAACAAAGGTGAACATAAAAAAATTTAAAACCAAAAAGTGTAAGTTACCGTTTCTTGGTGGACAGCTTTGTATCGAGTAACTGCCTTGTCTTTCTTTAGTTGATATCGCAAAATGTCAAAAGCATCGTGAAATCTTTCAATCTCCGCGAAAGCTTGCACCCGAATGCTTTGAATAATTGTCGAGTAAGACTTGACGCTGAGCGTTTGAATGATTTCCAGCGCAATGTTGGGCTGCTTTTGATTAACAGCCAGTGCAAGAAAACTGCCCATTCCACGGCTCTTCACCACGTTAGTGGATGCTTTGACCGATCGAAGCAGGCGATAGGATTGATCAAACGCTTCAAGTGTGTTCTGCAAAATAAAAAAGCGTTAACGACACTGCTTCATGTTTTACAAAAAGGCATTACAATTTTGTAACAAGAAGCCAAGTAGAGGGTGACGAAATCAGAAGGGTACTTCGTATCAAACTTATAGTTTTCTGTGACAAAGTTGAACACCTTGACAACGTCCTCGTATCGTTCATTTTTGAAAAGCAAGTCGAGAGCGATTGTTACTGAGCTTAGTTGAGAGAAAAAGTTAATGTATTCTTTTTCCATGAGCATCATTGCAAACTCGGGTAAATTCAGGTGATAGGCCATCCGCATCACGATTGGTCCAAACTGAAAATTGCCAAAACGAAGCGATTCATTTTGCTTTTCAAATCTAAAAAAGATAAACTTAGCAAAACTAATGACAAATACTAACTGAATAACATACATAGCAATGGCTTGTTTCAGCAAATCAACTTCTTTTGGTGCCTTATCACAAAGAAAGATCAAGTTCTTCAAATCTTCAGATAAAATGGAGCTTTTTTCGCCCTTTAAATGTTCTTCAAAACGATCGTAGAACTTTTCTGAAAAGGAAAATTTTTACCATACATTTGAACATTTCAATGTTGCACCTCATGTAACTCACCTTTATGCTTTCCAAACTGAGAGTTAATCTTTGTTCGAACATCCAGAAAACGATCTACACCAAGTACTTCTTCGGAGAATAGGTACCGCCTTGAGGAGACGGTTGTCGGCTGAGAGGACTGTCTTTGAGAAGCGTCCAGCAGTCGGTTGGCTGAATAGGAAGCACGGCCATAGTGAGACAGATTACGGCTCACAAGAGACATGGTGCTCGAGGAAGATGCGGCGGAGATCATGCTTGGGGGGCGAAAAGGATGCACAGGGAAACTCCAAAATCGACCAACTTTGAAGCCGCAGCACAATAACAAAAAAGCACATGGGAAGAAATTCAGCAGAAAATGGTCGGAAAATCTTTCGGAAATGTGATGTTTTGTTTTCGCTTGCCGGCAGTTGCATTTGAAGTTCCACTTTGATCTCCAAGAAAGTTCAGCATTTTTGTGTGCTTGTTCTGATCACTGTCATGGTGCCCCCGATCAGCAAACGAGCTCGCAGGAGTTCGAGCACTGAAGTAGAAGAGGAAGAGGATGACTTTGAAGAGATTGATCACGCCAAAGAGGATGATGATGATGACGATGATGAAATTGTTAATGGGGAAAATGATTCAAGACATGAAGAGGAAGCGGAGGGAGAGGATATTGCTGATCAAATTGAACTGATTGAAGATAAAATGGGAGATTTTAATTTTGATGAAGCAGCTGAAAACGGGCCATCTTCACTGATCAAATCAGACATCTACTTTATGGCTCATTCTAGCAAAAGCAAAATTTCTAAGCAATCATATGCAGCCATTCTTGAAAAGTTTGATCTCTACGAGACTGACATAAAAAAGATTGTGGATAAGGAACATAGGCTATTATGCAAAGAATTCAATATTCAAACTTTCTCTGACAGCGAACTGCTCAAGTTTTATCACCTTTTGAAGTAAGTTACCCAATGTTTGAGAACCTTCTAGTCGTTAACTTTTACATTTTTAATTTATAGAGCTGATTTTAACATAATTTTTTATGGTTTTGGTTCAAAGAGAGATATTTTGATTGAATTTGCTAAAAAATTCCTCAAATCTTACCACTATGTGACCGTTCATGGATACATGGAGTTAATTAAACTTACCGACGTAAGCAGTCAAAGTGGAAAAGTCTAAACCCTTTATTTACAACTTTTATCACTAGATCATTGGCTCACTGAACAAAGCAATTGGAATTGAATCAGACTCGGTAGTTAGCAACGAAGCTGAACTAATCAACCTCCTGAAAGAGTTCTTCGCTGACAGAGATTTTTTCCTTCTCGTCCACTCGATTGACATCCTCTACTTGAAGAATGGCAAAGTTCGCAAGTTTATCGACAATTTGGTTGCCTCAGTTCCAAGGGTGCGCCTTCTAGCCACTGTTGACCACATCAATTCGCCTCTCCTTTGGTCACTAACTGAGTCGAGCACCTATCGCTGGCTGTGGTTTCACGTGGCCACCTTCAGCCCTTACCTCGTGGAGCGCAAACACTCCTCCAGTCAGTCGTCCATCTTCACCACTGGCTCCAAGTCGTGGAAGCAGTCAACAAATCTGTTGGCCGTCAAGCAGGTCTACAATTCTGTGAACAGCAATGCACAGAAGATTTTCCTAATGATACTCAAGCTCTACATGGAATCTCGATCTCGTAACTCCACCTTCACCTTCTACTCACTGTACCTGTCCTGTCGTGAGGAGTTTCTCGTCAACTCTGAAGTGACTCTGCGCGAACACCTTGCCGAGTTCAAGTACCACAACTTGATTAAAATGACCAAGGCTTCGGACGGTGCCGAATCGATTCAGGTAATTTTCGACAAGGAGACGGTGAAGCGGTTCAACGATTCAGTCGGAGAAGAGTGAAAGGGCAATTTGATTTGCCTTAAAATTGCCTTCTTTGTGATTATAGTAACACATATGTGATTTAGTGCTAGGACTTTGTAGGCACTTGCACCATGAGCAACATGTGTTCATTTGATAATTTCTCACTCCATAAAGTCCATCCAGTGCTTCTGATCAATTAAAATAATACTGATGCCAAAAGCTAAAATATCCTGTGAAATGATGATGATGATCGCTTATGCGATATTACTTTCTTTTTGCTCGCTTACAGCATTCAGTGTGTGTGTTAGCTTGATTATGAGTGGGCAAGTTCACTGCACTGGCGTCACTGGTGGCACAGAGAGTAGTTCCAGAAAGAGAGAAAGAGTGGGCGACAGCTTGCAGCTGACTCGAGGTCTGCTGCCATTGGCCGTCCACACTGACTGTGCTGGCAAATCGAAATTAAATTGAGCCCTATTTATCGCTGCCTTGTAAGGAGGAAAGTCATTCGGTGGCTCGCTCTGTCAATGTGGATCCTGCAGAAGACTGAGCTAGTGTACAGACTGGTAACAGATTGCCGTTACGAGCTCGGTGGCGCCAGTCCAGTCAGTGCAGTCAGCGCAAATGCAGAGATGCACCCTAAAAGATGGTCGAATTGGTTGTGCACTCACTCGTCGATGACGACGAAGAAGAAGTCCCCGCAAAACGTCCGCTTGACTGCTTTGCATTTGCTTGCTTTTGCATTTGAAATATATAAAAGGTAGAGGAGAAAAATGCAATTCATATGCTAAGTGTGATTATTACATTTTCAGTACGTTTGCTATTTTTGGGTTTTGCATGCATCTACTTGGTTGTAAGGGTGGCCAATTATTTGGTCGTTTGGCGATCCTCAACTCATCTTTTCTTTGAATATTTTTCCTTTATTGTCAATAACATTCTGCCATTAGCATGTTGTGATTTTACAGTTATTTATACAAAAAACAGAATTTAGTTTTGGGAAAGCTAACAAAAATCAATTTCAATTCAAAAGCAGAGGCGTCAATTGAGGGGAGCACCAGAACGAGGGTGTTCTGCTGAATGAGAATTATTCTGTATATATTCGCAGAGAAGACACACATGATCACCCAGCCTGCCCACTTTGCCTGCAAGGACCACCTTTTTGCCTTCCGTCAGTGCTGCTTGGCTGGCAATACACTGGCACACAGCTCGTTCCAATTGGTACAAGTGTAGAAGAGCAAGTGCAGATGCTGCAGCGGCAGCAGCAATGAAGCCTGTGCGTAAAGGGAAACGATGATCCTGGATAATGATGATGGTGGTGGCCGTCGTGGTGGTGAGGGTAAAGAATCCAAAGTGAATGATGATGAAGAGTGGCAAGGCATCGAGAAGAAAGAAAGAGAGAATCTGCAGAAAGCGACTGCTGCTGACTTTCTGAAGCAGTCTGAAGCTAGGAAATCTGGCCGACTTGGAGAACAGGAGAATATATATGTGGGCCAACTAGATTGCAGTCGGCGGCAGTACGACCGTGGCAACATCTGGTTAGGAACAGCGATGCGTGATGCAGTCAACGGGAAAGGCATCACATTGGGGAGACTGGCACTGGCACTTGCTCACAAGTTCCGCTGCTGCTGTGCCACGGAACCGCTGCCATCGTCGACCATCCATGTGACGGCTGCTGTTCACTCACTTGCTCATTCGTTCGTTCGTTCCAGTCTGCTGTTCACGGTGACCACATCTTGTGCCAGCCATCATCTTTGCCATCTTTCCATCCTATTGCAGTCCACCAGTGAGTGATTTAAAACGAATTTACCAGTCTGTGAGTGTGTGGTGTGTGCAAAAAAACATCACACTTTGCCTGTGGCAGTAATTACCGTTGAAGGCTCAACAGCAGCATCAACAACAGCGGACGCAGTCTGACAGCAGCACCAGTGCCTAAACCTGGCGCCCAATATTGTCTGATCAACTTCAGCACCGGTTTTTCTTTTTCTTTTTTCTTCTTCTTCATCAGCTGCTGCTACTGCTGCCAAACGACGACATATGCCCACAGTCTGCAAACTTTTCAACACTACCACATTCTGAGATCAATCAATCGTGAATATTAGTAGCAGCAGTACTGGTGATCGTCAATGAGAGTCAGCAGTTGTCGACACACTCTTTCTCTCTCTCTCTCTCCCCTTTTAGGCGCCAAATAGTCAGCGAAGCATCATCCTTCCAATCATCACTGTCCACTTGCCAGCAAACAAATCAGCAAATCAACGATCACATTTTGCAAGCCCTCCAGTTTGTGAACTAAACTAATAGCTGTGCCTAATGTCAATGTGTTTTGGTGACATTTTAAGCGCATATCTAGCTCACTGATCACATACAAATCAATCAAATTTCCTATTGAAAAATAGCACTCATTCTTTACAAACAAAAAGTTTAATAAACTAGCAGCTGAGAGAAGATGGCACCAGTTGAGTCAGGCAAACCTTCCATTGACAAATCACCCTCAATGAGCACAGCCAACAGTGGTGTTGTTCACTCCAAAACATCAAAAATGACTAGCACTAGCAACAGCAAACCGGTGAATCTCAGTACAACAGCCGATTACTCATCTTTGTACCATAGAGCAAATGCCACTCCGAGCATGTTCAGCAATAAACTGCTTAAAATTGAACAGGAGAAATCGCCGTCACTGCCAAAGAAGCCACTCGGACGTCCACCAAACAATGAACGCAAATTGTTTTCTCCTGAAAGCAGTTCTCAGTACGCCACTGATCTGTCAAGCACCCAAAAAACGTTTAAATCTCTGGCTGGCAACAGCAGTAAAGAGCTGAAACGAAAGCTTCTCACCGATTCAGTAAAAGGCGTCGGTAAGAGTGTAAACAGCAGCAGCAGCAACGGCAAGCAACAAGGAAGAGGCAACATCAACGTCCACGTGAACTCCACTCAATCGACGCCCTTTCACCCGTACGAGCACCTGGCAAGCATCTACAGTGGCCTGAATGCGCGCACCTACGGTCAGCAGCAGCAGTCAGGTGGTGGTCATCACTACCCCCGAGCTGGCAGCGTCCACGGAGCCTCATCGGGCAACCCCACTGCAGGCAGCAGCACTTCCTTTGCCTATCACCCATTCGCAGCAGCGGCAGCAGCAGCCAACTGCAGCGCCTACTACCCAGGTACAGCGTCTTCTGGGCAGTCCTCTTCTTCTGCGGCCACCACCTTGGACACCTTTCTGGACAGTGCCTGTCTGAACAACTGGGGCCACCACCACCATCACGGCTCAGGCTCAGCACCCACTTCCCTTGGAGGGGGTCCCCATCAGCCAGGCCACAGCAGCTCAATGGGCGCTCATCACAGCCATCAACAACAGCAACAGCAGCACCAGCACCAGCAGCAGCACCATACTCATCAGCAGCAGCACAGTAGTCATTCAGTGGCCACTCCTTCTGCGGCGGACCTATTCGGCTCGGCGGCAGCGGCAGCAGCGGTAGTCGCCGCCAGCGGCGGTGTTAATCCGCACTCGCTGGCACTCTTCCACAGTGTGGCCGCCGGAGAACATCACACTAGTGCCGCTGTTGCTGCTGCTGGCAGAAACAATTCGACATCGGCGATATCGTCACAGCAGCAACACCACCTCAGCAAGTCAAAGAGCGCCAACTCTCAGTCGTACCTGACAAGTCGCGGTCAGTCACGCAAAGCCGCTTCATCCTCTGCCTGGCCCTACTCAGCAGCACCAGCATCATCATCATCGGGCACCATGACCGTACAGCGAATGATCTCGCCGACTGCTGCCCCGCGCAATGCAGGCAGCACTGCTGTACAGCAACAGCAACAGCACCGGCAGCAGCAGCACTCTTCGACAAGCAGCAGTGCCACCACCTCCACCTCTTACCACTCCTCCAGCACTGCTGACCACCACCCCCATCAGCACTTTAGCACTCTGCTTCCTCCTCAGTCGACGACGACTGCGGCCAGCATCGCCCACCTCAACAATGGCCACCACCCCTTCATCAACACCAAGTCAACACCGGGCCCCAAACCAAAGTCTAAGCCTCGTCGCCGAGTGGCGACCATCGCTCAGCGACGGGCGGCAAACATTCGCGAACGCCGTCGCATGTACAACCTCAACACAGCCTTTGACAAGCTGCGCAAAAAGGTGCCCACTTTTGCCTACGAGAAACGCCTCTCTCGCATTGAGACGCTCCGACTGGCCATCATGTACATTAGCTTCATGAGCGAGCTGGTCGGCGGAAAGGCAAACATACTGACCACCTCAACGCTGACGGTCAGTATAAAGTCGCCCTCTGACTGCAGTCTGGACAGTGACATCAACTCAGACACTGAAAATGCGTCAGACACTCCGCCCAAAACGCGCAAGTACACTAAAACTGCAAGGCGAAGTACTAATGATAATGTCGGAGCATCATCAAATGGTCAGTCATCTAGTCAACAGAATATCTCCTCTTCAGTCGCCGACTCCAGTGCTCTACAACACTCCACTATTCACTCCCCAGTCTCATCGGCGGCCTCACCCTCTGCCGCATCCTATGAGAATCTGTATCACCCCAACTCATCTACCCCCTATCACCCACATGCTCATCAGTCTTACCTTGACCGGTACCACAGCTCCTTTGCTGCCTGGTCCGCTGAGCACTACGGCACTTCAGCTGATCAGTTGGTGGCAGCGGCAGCAGCAGCCGCCCACTTTGGCACTTCGTCCTGCTCAAGTGAGGCAGTCTCTGCGGCCAACTTTACCGGACACCACCACCCAATGAGCAACTGTTCACCCTTTTCACCCACTATTCCACGCTACTAATTTCACTCTAGACAGTCAGGCGAGGGCACTTCTAATGATCTCAATCTTGATTTTTAAGCATCACTCACCGTCTAGTCAACCCTAACCTCTAACCATTTTAATAATTTACTAATTCAATCATTTTTCTGCGTGATACAAACACACCCTTACAGCATTCCAATGTGCATATCAACCACTTTCACACACACATTCAATGGCAATGTTTAATCTAACTATCCCATTTCCACTAATAAAGAGTCCCTTAATTTCTAATTCAATCAATCTGAAAAATCAGTGCCGCCACATTATAGATTCAAAATGACACTTGAGCAAAACTAGACTGCTAAAGTGAGTTGAAACCCAAAATGGAGGGCGCCAAGAAACTCCCACTGTTTCACTTCGCCAGGCACTTCCACTTGCCTCTATATAGTGGCAGTGCAGAGAAAGAGAGGCACCTTCTTGCCGTCTGGCAGGCAGTTGAAAGAGTAGCTTCAGCAATTCAAACGGAGTCATTCAAAAGATGATGGCCCCCTCTTTTGCAGCAGAGGTCACTGCTGCAAATGGTGCCAGTTGTCGGCGGCTGCAGCGGGCCTTGTGTGCTCTAGCCCACCAGGCACTGCAACAACAGCAGCAACAGCAGTGACACTGCGTCAGCTTGCCAAACACAGACCATTCAGTGATCCACAGCAGAGAGAGTGAGTAAACTGAGACACTGAGTACACAGCAACATTTGGCGACGGCAGCAGTAGCTGTTACACTGAACTGCCGATTAAAGTCAATTGCAGTAACAACAGCAGCAGAAGCAGTGCTATTGACAGAGCCACTTTGCCTCCACTTGGCCTCCTAATTGCTTTAATCTATTTGGAAGCATCCCGATTTTAGAAAACTTTTATCAAAGAATTACTACTGAAACGCTCTCATAGTTCACAGTGGGTTGATATTGAGCTGAAAAGGCAGTAATAATTAGCATCAAAGAAGGGCCGCAAAGATTAAACAAATCGTAAATCTGCAAATCTAATGAAAACAAGTCACATCTTTTTCTTTGCCTATGTCAAAAACGTTTCTTCCGTTGCTGATGCCTTTGTTCAATTGCTAAACCGCAAGTGATGCGTTGGTTTGGCAATTAAAATTTACGATTATTTGCTTTAAAATGTGCAAGCAATTTAAAAGTGCTCACCTGCAGCATCGAAAAAAATATTTTAAACGGGCAACTTTTTTTGTCAGGAAGCAGATGTTGTATCAAACTTTTTTCAATTAATTGGTAATTTGCACGTTTATTTGATTTGCACAGTTTCTAAATCAATCAGCGTTGAACTTCAAATGACAAATCTTTTAGACAAACATCAACATGCTTGTTCTGCACTAGAAAACACGAGTCAGCTTTTTACAGTGCCTAATCGGAAGCTGGTTTGGTGATCGAGTTTGCTCACAAAACTAACTGCAAACAGTAATTAATAATAAAACAAAAAAATAAGTGCCAATCGGATACAAAAATTGTGCATTTTGAAAGCTTTTTGATTATACTAAAAGCAAACACAACTAGAAAAGCTAACACTTTTATACCTAGAGTCGATCAATCTTTCCTATTTATAGCGGACATCTACCAACAGAAAAACGGACAGCAAAAAACACATGTTCGTTTGTAATAGAGACATTTTGGCTAATAGTATATACTTTTAAAGATTAACACACACATTTGAAGGGCACATCTAATTGATTGGAATTGCTTGTTCACAGGCGAGTAGATCCGTTGAACAGTGAGAAAAGTTAGTTTCGGCAGACGGTCAAACTACAACGCTGTCCATTTAGCCATTTGGAATAAGGAACAAAATGCTGACAGAAACAACCATCTGCAATAGGCGGTTTCTGCACTAGGTGATGCATAAATCAGGATACAAATCTACAATTGAATTGCAATTAAAAAGAACTGTGTGTAAATTAACTGCCAAAACCTAACTGGTGTTGCAACTAAAATGCTTTTAGGCAAATTCTTTTTTTCTTGGCCTGCAGCGAAACTAATTAGCGACATGTGAGCAGTGTACTAACGAGGCGGCACTAAAAAGGCACATAAACTGCTGATGAAGCGCATTAAATTTAGGGCGACTTTAAAATGAACTAGGGCCACAGCAGCAGCAGTAGCAGCATGATTAGATGCTCATTTGCCGGTAATAAAGTCGTCAGGCAAAGATTGAAGGCAACAGCAACTGCGCCAGCCATGTCGCCATTGTCTGCAATTGTGACCAATTGTAGCTGACAGATAGTGCTGTGCAGGGGCGTTTGGGCACAGCAGTCAGAAACGATGTTGTTCACTGCTGACACTTTGACTAAATCGGATTAATCAGCTGAATGGGCTCACTGGCAGAACGTGACATTTGAAGCAAAGGCGATGACTTAATCTGCCAAAAGTGGCAAATGCGAGCTGGCTGCTTTCAATGTCCGCACTGGCTAGCAGTGTCACCTTTGCAGTCTGCTGCAGGGCACTTGGCCAATGGTGAAGGGTCGTTACCGAGGCAGTGCTCTCAATTGGTAATCGGTCGCTCAGCTTGACTTTAGATTTGTTGTTCACCCTGCTAATCCGCAGTGGCTGAATGGCTGACGATCACAACTGATTCAATCGGGTTTTACTGAAAGTGCACGCGAAGGAGAATGCGCAGGCACACTGATGCCTCAAACTCAAACTGTGGCCAACTGTGGGCAGGTGTCAGCCGTAACAGTAAATGATAGTAGCTCTCGTTCTTTGGGTGGTTTTCTCTTACCCAAAAATGAATCAGCACCAAAACCAAAAAGATCAATCGATCAACGACTAGAAGTGTTAAACCTTAATTAAGCTCCTTCTCTTTCTATCCATCTCACTTTCTTGCACACTGGCCACACCACTGTAGTAAATCAAATGCAAATTAATTATACTTTTTGCAGATTACAAAATGGAGATCATTTTATTAAGTATAAATGTGTGTGCAGCCAAACTGGCCAAGTGGAAAAAGGTAGAAAGGCAAATGCATATTATTCTCGAGATGAATGACAGAGTCGCATCAAACGGTGAGGGGACAGAGAAGTCACTGAGCCTCAATTCAAGAGCAAAGAACAGTTCAGTGTGCCAATGAGAGCGTATAATTGATCGAGGCTTGACAACAAGGACAGAACGACTTGATAGCCCTGGCCATTTGTCGACACATTGTGTCACTAAACTGCTGATTGGTCTTTTCGACAGATGACAGATCCACTCTGACAGTTTCCTCTTCAATGCCACTCACACACACAATAATGGCACTCAGGCACTGGTGCTGCAAAAGTCCACCCGGCTCAAGGTGGTCTTTTTGTGAAACTGAAACTATCAATTGCGCATGAAGCAGAAGAAGGCTCTGCTAAACAGTGGGAATCATCGACTTTTAATTCAATGATTCTTTGAGCCGAGTGTGGAGTGATCACTTTACAATTGGGAATTGAATACCACTTTCCAACACTTTTCTCTAGCAGTGAATCTTAATTTAGCACTTCAAAATGGATTAGCGGTTAGCAAATAGAGCGACTTCAGCATACGTGTGACCAGCACGTGTCGGTGGATTTAACAACAACAAATGATAATAATTGTAAATGATGTTCTCATGATGCTTAGGAAAAGATGAGACTCGTGCCAAAGTGTGAAAACACTCGGTGCATGACCGCAAATCACCACAATTTGACAAGAGTTTGCCAGCACGAGCACATCACCGCCACGTGCACCAGATGAAAACTACTGTAACTTGTCACACTTGTTTATCAAGTTGCTTTTCATTGCAAGATTCTAGCTTTGGCATTTTCGTGTGAGAAAGTCACTGCAAAGTTGTGGGATTTAAAACCGTTGGCAAATGTGCAAAATTGATTTTTTCAGTTACTGTTGCACAAGGCAAGAACAACCATTTTCACTTGTGAACTTGATGTAAAAAATTGAAACTATATCTCAATTGTGTTTACATTGCAACGGTAGAAAACAGCACATTGTTCAGAACAATAGCCAAGAAATTGCACCCACACAAAAAAACACCATCAGTGTTATGACAAATGCTCCCAAATGGCTAGCAGTACTGTTCACATTACAATTGCCTCTAATTGATTTGCCTAGTGATTAACAGTCAGCAGAAGTAGATCACCACAGTCTCCTCTTTTGCAGCCGGTCAACTGAAGTCACTACCACCCACAACAAAAGTGGCCACTTTGTTTGTTTTTTGCCACAGCATCACTTGACTTGATGAAGATCGAAGACTCTGCTCGGTGTGCTTGTGCTGCTCTAATTGTGTGTCAGCCGTCTGACAATGGCCAAATATTACTCAGAGAGAAATATGTATTCGAGGCCTGGTGTCAATGACTGCTCAATAGAAGAGACCACTGTCTCTCTTTCTCATGGCACCTCTGCCGACGCGTGCTTTTAAACAATGACCAACAAAGCAGCGGCAGAGACGGTCAAAAGGTGCTGGGGTCAGTGCTGGGGCAAGGACACACACACAGACACACTGGGGCTGACAAGTCGGTCAATTGAGGACCACAGAGAAGGTTAGTCGGTTTCACTGGCAAAAAAATGTGTTGCACAATTACTCTCTGGCTGGGCAAGAGTCACTCACTCTTATTTGACGGAAAATATTGGTCAATAGGGCAATACATCACACTGGCACATTTGGCGCACCGTCAAGACAACCAGTGACCGGCGATGACTGTCAATCAGACCACTTCAATGACCGATCGAGTGCAAACACACCAATTAGTCAAATATTGCATCACGTTCTTTTTATTACACCACCAAGACCACTGTTTCAGTAGCCGGCCAGCTTTCTTTCCTTAAAGTCGTCCGAGTCAACCTGGTTCTCTGGCTTCGCCTTGATGATGCACTCTTCGGTGGCGAGCAGTTGCTCGTACAGTCGCTTGATCAGCGGATAGCTGTCCAGTTGTACGTTGTAGCGCAGAGCATTGTACACCTGGGGCACCAGACAGATGTCCGCCAGTGTGAGCTGGTCGCCGACGGTGTACCGCCCTGAGAGGCCCTGGAGAATGCCCTCGAGGGTGGCGAAGCGAGTGCTGATCCAGTACTGGTTCCACTCGACGGCCTTTGCCTTGCTGCCGCCGGCAAACTCCGCCGCCTTGTTCATCGGCCCAAGGTTCTGCAGCGGCTGAATGCCGCTGACGATGCTCTCCACGACGGCGATCACCTTGGCCCGCTGAATGGGGTCTGTCGGGTAGATGGACGGCTGTGGATGCGTCTGCTCGAGGTAGTCGATGATGGCCAGTGACTCAAAGAGCGTTTCGTGTTTGCCGTCCTTAGTGGGCACCAGCAGTGTGGGCACCATTCCCGCCGGATTGACTGTCTTGAATGCCTCACTGTGCTGCTCGCCGGTGTACAGTGACACTGCCCGGTACTCGTAGGGAATGGCCTTCAAAGCCAGAACGGAGCGAACACGCCACGAGCATGAGCTTCGCCAGTAACTGTAGAGGACCAACTGCTGAACTGCTGAGGATGCTGACATGGTGGTTAGTTTGATAAACTTTTGATGTGAACTTCGTTTTAGAAGTTGAAAAAGCTCAAATATTGACACACCGAAGAGGACAGGCAGCAAAACAACAGACAAGAAACAGTCTCGACGTGAAAATGAGCACTAAAAATGCCACAACAATTTTCATCGTGGCTATATATCAATTGCTAGCAGCATATGCGAGGGGTACGATGATGGCAGACTACCGAAAGAGAGAGAAAAGAGGCAGCATTGCCCGAGATGACATCGCCGATAAGACTACAGAAGGCATCTGAAAGTGTCTTTAAGCACTGGCCAAAACTTGTCTGCTGCATTTTTTTGTTGTTGCCAAGGCCAGCGAGAAGCATACCCCAACCACTGAAAGTTGTGGAGATGAGTAAAATACAGTTGTGTGACACAACTTGTGTCTGTTCGTTTAGCGCTAAAATTATACCCATTTTGTATCAGGCAATTGATAAGGTAAAAAGGGGACGATTAGAGCTGTACTATACTCTGCCGTAAAATCAGTAAATGGAGCACACATTCAATGAACTTTTAGAGCTAAATTAAAAAAATGGGCGAGTAACTTACAGCAAACTGTTGCACAAGAATATTTAAAGTTGAGCTTGGGTTTAAAATTGAGCTTAGAAGCACCGCTAGTTGGCGCTGCTATCGGCATCGTTGTCTCTGAACAGCACCTTTTAGGGTATTTTTCCGCTCAGCAGCCGACTCAAAGTGCGCGCAAGAATTTCTCAAGCGTCCTCGTTTTGGCTTCTATGCTTTCTGGTTCTTATCTCATCATTCTGGCACCATGACGTCTCCCAAATGGGTGATCGATACTCCTTCGACTTCAACTGCAAATCAAGATCCGTCAGAGCAAAAATTCTCCACCATTCCGCTGAACGACAATGGCCTGGAAATGGTGCCCATTGAAATGGCAACGATTGCCAATGAAACTTTTAGTTCTGCAGAAAATGTTCCACCAGCTCCATTTTTGCGTGGCTCTTCACAACAGCAAAACGAAGATTCCATTCGTTTTCCTCACCTGCCGGCAGTGCCTAGAAATGTGCACAAAATTTTAAACTGGTTTAATCGTAAACCATGGATTTTTCCACTTTCTTACTGCATCGTTTTTTGCTTAATCTTACTTTTAGCGTAAGTTTTATTAATCTTTAAATCATGATAGTAATTTTTTAACAATATTTTTAGTATTGTTCTGGCATGGATGAATGTCAAATTTTGGTTCTTTTTCTCCACTATTGACAATCCAAAACTTGAAGGACTTTCTCATGCTTTTCTGCCTTATTTTTATGTGCTTGTGACAATCTATGCTTTTCTAAGTATGTTTTTTCGTAAGTGATTTTAACGATAAACTGACTAAATCTTATGATTACTTAGTGGCTTTGACTGGTTACGCACGTTACTGTCAGTTGGACTACTTCCTCCAGTGTGCTGCTCAAAAAATAGAAGATCAAGCTAATTCACTCACGTTTCCAGGACGATTTCCAAACATTGCCTATTCCACATTGCTTCGGGAGAAAGTTGTCAAGTATAAGAAACATAACAAAGAAACGTTTTCTTTTTTATTGGTTGCTTCATTGTGCCAACTAATTTTGGGAAACTTCAGCTTTGGACCATTCAGCATTGTTTACTGGATAAGTTTCTTTGTGTATTATGTTTTAATCTGGACGTATTGCATTTGCATGGTAAGTAACATTGGCTTTCACAATGATTATTACATAGTTAATATATTATTTTCACTTTGGTCAGACAATAATCATGCACTTCATTTCGCAAAAATTCAACTACGAGTCTTTTTCTCTTGAAATGGTCGCCATATCAATAATCGGGAGTGTTTTTGGGATCGTTTATGTGGTTATTCTGGGAGCCGAGATATTTTTCAACCCTCATTTTCCTTCCACTCTCTTTGCCATGTTGGAACTAATTTCAAACTTTTTCTTTCCCGCCTTTTCGTTTATAACTTTTCTGAAAATGTACAAATTTCCTAATTGGAAAAATGTGCGCACTTTCTAAATCTTTATCATTTGAGCTCACCATACCCATTATCACTTTCGATTTGTTTTTTATCCTCATATTTGGTTTTATCACCCGCTGACAAAGTTTCCAGCTTTATGTACACACTTCCACTCTATCTTTTCAAGCATAAATAATCAAACGTCTGTAGACATTTTGTGATTGATACTCATAATAAACATCTTCATAGCATTTTTCCTATTAACATCATCACAATTGACTAAACATCCATTTTCTCTTATTAACCTTCTTCAGTTTGGATATCTTCTGCTTAAGCAGAACAAATACACCTTCGAGCTATTAAACTGTGCAGCAGGGGTGCAACAGCTTTTCAAGGAGAACGCGCTTCAATGCGCTGCCTCAGCAGCTTCACCACGGAACACGTCTTGTGCTTTGGCTCATTAGGCAGCCTGCACACCTCGTGTGCGGTGACAGTCCGCCGCTTTTCCTCTTTCTAATTTGCTCAAACGGTTTTTGTTGTTTGTCGGTGCACTCAACTGGATGCAGCGATGAGCAACGTGCAAATGAGCACTGCTGGTCAGTCATTCACTGCTGTCGCTAATAGTGGCACCTGTCAGTCGTGGTGCTACGACCGACTGCGCCAGTACATCTGGATCTTCCCACTGCTCTTCGCCCTCACTGTTCCACTATTCTGTCTTTCATTGTAAGACTTCACCTTTCATTTGTTGATTCTATTTTTAAAACTCCTCATCTATTCAACTGTAATCACAGCTACAGCTATGCCGCCTCATACGGCCACCTGGAGCCATGGCTTCAGTACGTCTCCGATTCGGGGTCGTACAGTCCAAGCGCCGGCTACTTTGCAGAGTCGCTGGACATCCTGGCAATTCTCGGTGAGAAGTTTTTAAGTTTGAAGGAAAAGAGTACATTTTCTTACACTCAAACCACTCCTTTTTCAGTGCTAGTGACGACTTATGCTCGCTACAAACAGCAAAAGTTCTACATTGACGTGAAGGTGCCCTCGATGATTGGCATCAATACCGAGCACAGGAGTCTGCTGGAACGACTGGGCAGGTACAACTTCTACAGTCTCCTTCTGGGCTACCTCAACGTCTTTGCGCTCTTCACCGTGGCCAACTTTCGCTGCAATGAGGTTTTTGTGGTGCACGCCATTGCCGCCTTCACCATGTTCCACTGCTCCTTCTTCTCCACCGGACTGATGATCTACATCTGCCGAGCGCTCTCCTCGCACTTCGGCATCGAGTCCGCTCCCGTCACCATGACTGCCGGTCTGATCGCTCAGCTCCTCTCCCTCATCGGCTGCATCGTCTTCAGCACCGTGGCCATGTTTCAATTTGGCTACGACAACTTCTTTGACGAGTACAAGCGACTGCACTGGACAATTGACCAGCGTGGCTACTGGTGGCACGTCTTAGGAACTGGCTTTGAGTGGAGTCTCTTAAACTCTACGTCCATTCTCTTTCTCTGTCTCTTTCGACGGATGCGCCTCTTTTCTGACTGGCTCAAAGTAGACTTGTAATCTGGGACTGTCGAGGAAATACATGCCCCGACTTATCAGTATCTTGTCAGTTGTTGTGTTTTGATGACAATGATATTTTTGTGTGTCGGCTGCTTCAAAGCTTTCAGTTTTCTCAATGGAAAAATCCACTTTCTTCAGGTTGGCTGATTCTCAAATTTTGAGTGCTCAAGTTACTTTTTGTGAATTGTCGTACCTCCAGCTAAAACGGAGTAAATTAATAAAACAAAATCCAAGATCATCATTAATCAGCAACTGGGTCAGATCAAACAAACTTCAAGGCTCTAGCAGCCTAAGTCTGTTCCAATCACAGGAGAACAGGTAGAAAACAAAATGTTAAGTGCAAAAGAAAGATTACTGATTACTTGAAGTGTTATGTTCTTCTTGACAGTCAATAAAAATATGGTAATTAAAAATGTCACAAAAACGCGTTTGAAAGACGGAAAATTCCTCTTTCACAATTTGGTAGCAGTAAAGACGTCAAACGGTCCGTTCAATCACTTTCAGTCCCTTTTCAAAGGGTGATGTTTATCAGTAACTGTCACTAACGTTATTCTCTCCTTGTTTTCGCCAATACTAATTACATTCGCTGCTCCAGTATGAACACTGCTGCTGTTGCGGTGATTCGTGCTGGTCATGCACCTCCAATGCACTCTTCCATTGAGCTCAGCGCCGGCGTCTCTTTCTCTCTGCCTCATGTTTGCTGATTGTTGGCCTGATTAGGGGTGAGTGTGCACATGTCGGTGGTGATTCGAGTCGGTGTTAGATTTCGCCTTTCCTATCCTTCGACAGCAGCTAGGCTGAATCTACGAAGATCTTCATCCCTCCCAACTGACGCCTGTTCTGTACGATGGACGCACTGACGGAGTGGTGCAGCCGCATCGAGCCACCAGCCAGCGAGTGCACTGGATAAACTTTCAGTCTCTACACCGTTCACTTTCTTCAAACTGGTCATCGCACTTTTTATTGCATTTACAGTTACTCTTCAGTTGGTGGACCCTTTTCTGACACTTGCAACACAATTCTTGGTAGCCACACAAGTTCAATCATTATTATCATCATCATTGGTAAGTTTTTTCAGCAGTTTCTAATGATTATAATAAAATTCAAGTACAGTAACTGATTAGCATAAAACGGTAGAGTCTGAACCATTGGTAAGGTATATTCTAGTAAACAGTACTTTTCTACGCACAACTTTCTCCCAGCTATCAAAATGCCAGCCTTTCAGTGGAAGTATGCTAATGAAAGAGATGGCCACCATTTGTCTTTGTCAAATGGTTTTTTCTGCCTACTAGTGTACCAAACTCACTCTTTCCCTCTTTTAGTTATAACAAAAATTTTTATTTTTGATAGTCTGTAAATTTTGCCTGAGGAAAGGAAATATTGTTCTCAGCCAGACATTTGGTTGAAAGACAAACTTTCTTTTTCTCAAAGGTACACAGCCCAATACAGTAGTGCAGTCACAGAGTGCTGAGCACATTCA